TTTTAATAAATATCAGGTTATGTAGAAAGCTTGACATTGATTTTTATGTAAAAATTTTTATATGAAACTTTAGCTACCATTTTTTAGTTTTTATTGTAAGTTTATTCATTTTCACAATTTGTCACAGATGTCAAATAAAAAATATATTTTTTAAATACGTTTTATTGGCAAATAAAATAAGAACTAAAATGTTTTAAATGTTTATTTTATAAGATCAGTCCCATCACAATACATAATATTACACAGACACAAACTAGAATAAAGATATATAATGCCTGGCCTTCTAAATGATACTCTTCGCAGTTTAACAGAGCCTCTTAACCCCCATTTTCAAACAGATTGTTTTCACAATCAATAGGCCTCAACTCCTTATAGAGCTTGCTTTTTACTAAAAATTTCATGTTGATATCGCTTTTCATTTTTGATTTTTTTTTAATTTCAACCTCCCTTAAATCCCCCATATTGAATCAGATTTTTTTACAATTAAAGGGCTTCTTCTCCTTTTAGAGATTGATGTTTGCTAAAAATTTCAAATTTATATCATTTTTCGTTTTTCAGTTAGGATTTGTTTTTATATTTTAACCCCCCTTAACTCCCCAATATATTCATATTTTCTTCAGTATCAATAGGCTTTATCTCCTTATAAAGCTTTATTTTTACTAAAAATTTTGTGTACGTATCGCTTTTCGTTTATAATTTAGGATTTTTTTTTAATTTTAACCAATCTTAACCCCCTATTTTTAATCAGATTTGTTAAAAATCAATAGGCTTTGTCCCCTTATAGAGCTTGATTTTTGCTTAAAATTTGCTTTTGCATGTCCAAGTTTACTAAAAAATAATGTGTTTTAATAAATAATATAATAGTAATTTTGTTTAAATAGGTAAATCGGCTTCATCTGTATTTTCAAATTATTGTTTAATTTTAGATAGTATAATAATGTTTTGATATGTACTTATAGGATTGATTAGCCAGAGCATGTAGATATGTGGGATGTGACTTGTTAAGTGCCTAATCAAAATCACAATTTATGTTTGATACTTATTTCGAGATTTTTTTCGAGACATTATTACCAACTGTAAACTAATTTACAATAGTCTCATTTTTATTTAATACCTGTAGTGATTCAAATGACCATAACATCTATTATTTTTGAAAATACTAAATTATACAAACAAGGCAATAAAAAAATGTCATTAAAATAAAGATTTTTGGTTTGTATGCAACAAACGATCTTGGTTAGAGGGTAACACGATTGATAACTTTATATAGGTAAACTATTTAAATGTACATACCATTTCTTAGGTAAAATTTCTCATCGAGTGTATTAAATTAACTGGTTAATCCATTTTTCTGATTCAGACTTTTAAAGTGAAAAACCATTTGTCTCTTTATCTTTATCAAATTTTTATTTTACATTTCCATTTCCATAATGTTACCTCATCAGAATAATAAAATTTTTCCTTTTAGCGGGTTTTGTGGAAAAAAATTAGAAAATTTAGATCAATATTTTGTGATTCACTCTGCGAGTAAATTAGTAATAGATACACATGCGCACGTCAGGGTTTTATAAAGAGATATCGCAATTTTTTTTGTGGCTGGTATCTGCCAGTAGTATCTTTGAAGTTTTTTCTACATTTTATTACTTATAATAAGTAATGTTTATGCCCATATTGCGATTTAATTAGTCAGACTATATACGTTTAATTAAAATGGTTCAAGGAGGTCCTTTCGCCACCAATGTTAAATAAAAAATATTAGATTATGACTAAAATTAATTTTTTTTCTAATAGTTGAAGTCCTTATTTATCTAGTGAACTTTTAACTATACCTTACCGTGCAAATTTTTGAGAATTTTTTTTTTAAAAATGTGAGTATTTGTACAGTGTCTTACGAGAAAGTAAGACCTCAACAACAATTCTCGAATTATACTATTATTTATAGATTAGATGGAGTAGAAAAAAAAACTAAAAATAAGGTTTTTGAAATATTTTGGTTTTGTTTTTTACAATAAAATATATAGATGACAACTAGAATTAACGATGAAAATTGGAGGAATTTTAGAGTAGAACAAATTTAAGTTTGGTACAGAAGGACGTCAGAAGCATGCGCGTTGAAAATAGTGCGTTCCTACAAAGCCACGGATAATCCGATGAACTGTCAGTAAAACGTTGCAACGTATTTTCTGATTCGTACATGAATGAGTCGGCGGATTGTCAAAACGATCAGAGCTTTATCGCTTGCAGAATTTATCAGCACATGCGCACTTGAACGTCTCTTTTCGTTCGTGCTATTTGTTTTTAATTGTTGGGATTTTAAGTTAGCTTGGAGTGGCTTGGGTTTCTATTTCTTTCAGTTAGTCAGTCGAAACAAAATGGCTACCAGTGGATTTTGACAGGTTACGATATGACAAAATTATGGCAACTCTGTAGGCCAGGTGATTTGACAAGTAAATAGTTACATAGATTGATTATCCATATTTTTCAAAATACATATAAGCCTTGAAGTAAAAATGTAGATAATTACTATTTCTACTATATTCAAAGGCATATTGGTTTGTAAACACATTTTTGCAAAATCGATTCTGATTAATAAACACTTGCGAGGCAATATGGCTGCTCGAAAACGACCCGCTTTGAGCAATCTATATAACTATATGTATCATTGACCCTGTCAATGACAACAGACTCACATGTTTGTTATATCTAAATGTCAGTTCCCACTTGTCAGCAATTTGAAAGGTCGTTGCAAAGCCTAATTGAATTGAATAATTTTTGTTTTTATCTTGTGTACGGTTTTTTTTTATGTAAAATACGTACTTATTTTTAATAAAAATAAACATCTTAAGGTTTCAAAATTATACATTGACATAGATTGTTCTTTGTTGTATTTTAAATAATGTTTAACATACCTATTCACCAACCATGTGTTGGGTGTGACGAAGTCACTAAATTTTACTTTTAATTAATTTAAAAAATGTATATTTTAATTAATTCCCGCCTGAGGACATGTAGATGATCCCCCGTATTTCTGTTTCCCAGGAATTACCGTTTTTCAACAATTGCGAGTACCCTCGTAGGTTAAAATATTGCTATATTGGCCGAAATCCGAATGGGCATTTTGTAGAGCGATTTCGTACCAATTATCTACTTTTATTTGTCAAGGTACTAGGTAATTTTTTTTATTTTTAAATTGTAAACAGTCGACTGTAGTGGTGGTATCCCCCACTCGGGCTTACCGGTCTTCAATCTTGCCCAGCGAAAAAGAATAAATTCGATCACGTCTGGGAATTACGCTCTTTTGATTGCCGGCCGCCGTAAGCTCTTCTCTCTTCTCCACCGACTAGTGAAGTACTCTGTGAGTGACCGTGATATTGTTAGAATACTGAACAACCCCGTTTATTTTCCTAAGGTAGGTAACCGCAAATTATTAATTATTTTTCTATTTACAATTAGTTTGAGACACGCGTCCGACAAGTGAAAATTTTTGATTCATGCTCAGCATCCCTTAGTGGGAAACCGTTCGTAATTTTTTATTTGAGGCTGGATATAGGCTAGATTCTGAGTGCTCTCATTTTCGACGACTATATCCAATCTCTCTTAGGAAGCGCCCAGTTAACATTGAAGTGAGATGTTTAATCCGTTTTCAATTTTTTTTTATTTAATACTTTTGGGGAAAACCGGCCCGTTATTTTCTTTTTCGGAGATTTGATCTGTCCCCGGGTTAAGAGTGTCTCTGTCCCGACGGCGTTATCTAATTTCCCAAAAAGACGTCTAAATTAATTTTCGCGCCTCAATTCATGTAAATTTCTTTTTCTTTTGTTTATTCATTCAATTATATTTGAATCATTCCGTTTCCCGTCAACAACTAATTATTGAACGAAGCCCGACGTTTTCTATAAAATTAATTCACACACCGTTTTGATCGGCTTTGGCAAATCTCAAAATAATCTTTTCTATAACCATCGCCTACGTTGTCCAAACACCACGTAAATCATATCATTTTCGCTCGACGAAAATTGCCAGTGTCGATCGCTCGGGACTGAGATACGAGGGGGTTCCGAAAACTTTGATTTCATTCATTTTCTTACATTTTATTACCGTCATATTTAATCAATATTTTTTTTTTTTTTTTTTTAATTTAATAAATCGGTTCTGGCATATGGACGTTGGTCTTTTTATGCTGACAAAAGTACACCTCCTCCAAAACTTAAGAATAGGACAGTAGTTTTTAAAGTTGATATTTTTTACCAACCTTAATAAGAGAATATTTTGTAAAAAAACGCAATTATATTTTGTAAGTGATAGATTGCGGCATCAAGCGGACATTTTTAGGCATTTTTAGGGCTGATTTTTTTATAAGAATTTTTTTCACAAATTCTAGGACATAGTGTTTCCGAGATACGGCCGGTCGCCACCTTTAATGAAAAACCCTGTATGTCACATATATTTCGAATTCGAGTGACATCAGTTTTTGTACGAATATTTTCAAGCCTGGTACTAGGGTGGTCTGCTAGATGACCTGATCTATCAGCTTAGGAGTGATTTTTTTCGAGACTCATAAAATCGACAATTTTCGTCAACAGGTTGCAATTCTAAAAGAGCTGCGATATAGTTTTATCAGGAAATGGCAATTAATGAAAACGGATGTCAAATGAATGATTACAAATGAACGAATTTCTACTTAAATAGCATTAGTAGAAAATTAAAAGGGTAATAGTTGTAATCTAGAGAGTTTTAAACATGCCAAATGTCTTTCAACACAGTGTCGGTTTTACATGGGTGCTATTTGGGACTTTAGTACCGGGCGGCAAATCGTAATAGGGCGGTGCGCAGGCAGAGCACTAGTAAGAAATAATTTTACCAGATTTTAAAGATCCAGCCCTATGGAACACTGGTCGAGATATTGAAATAATTCTAGAGTCTTGGAAAATTTAGAACAAAGTAATTTTTCCAAATCCAAGAGGCCATTTAAAGGGCAAAACAGGTGGGCAAATAAACAAATGTTCTACAGAAAGTTAGAGAATGGAGAAATTTTACGTCGAGATTGGGCAATATATTCTGAAAGCACAGGTAATGTGTACTGCCTTTATTGTATGTTATTCGGTGGGTCAGTCAACCAGTTTAAAAGAGGTTTTTCATCCTGGAATAGGAATAAAGAAAGGTTTGATGAACATGAACGATCATCCGAGCATTTAAACAATCTACTGAATGAATTGATAAACTTGAAAAAGAATGTAACGTAGCAAAGGAGTATTGTATTAACGTATTAAAAAGAATTGTTAGCGTTATAAAATTTTTAGCAACACGAGAGTTAGCATTTAGAGGTAGTAATGAAAAGATAGGCGAAGATCATAAAGGCAATTATTTGGGTGCGATTGAAATTTTGTCTGAATATGATCCTTTTTTAAAAGATCATATAAGAAGACTTGCAAATCGTGGAAAGGGCACTGTTTCTTATTTATCAAAAGATATTGGCGATGAGTTTGTAGGGATTATATCAAATGAAGTTTTAAAGAAAATAGTGAAACAAATTAAAGTTAATAAGTATTATTCAGTAAGCTTGGATTCTACGCCAGATATAACCCACCATGACCAGCTTACAATTATATTGCGATTTTGTGATAGTAATGTATTACTAGTTGAGCGGTTTGTGGGGTTCAAGAAAACGTTAGACATGGTACGAAAGAACTCGAAGATACCGTCCTGAATATTTTGAAATCAATGGAAATACCTTTAAAAGACTGTAGGGGTCAGTCATACGATAATGCGAGCAACATGAGCGGAAAATACTCGTGAGTTACAGACTCGTATTAAGGCACGAAACAATTTAGCACATTCGCTAAATTTAGTTGTACAAAATGCAGTAGACTGCTGTTTGGAATCTACGGCGTTCGTTAGATGGTACAAGAAATTTACACCTTTTTTACGGCATCTTCATACAAATGGAACTTGTTATCTCAGTTTATAGAAGTTTCAGAAAACGAAAAACTTTTAACTAAGAGAGTTAACACTACGCGATGGTTATCACGATTTGATGCCATTAAAGCCCTAGGACACAGTTACGCATCAATAAAAATAGAGCAAATATCTCAAAATAGAGAAGAAAAAGGTGTTGAGAGAGTTGAAGCGGCTTCTTTTGCCGAGACATTAGATCTTCTTGAAAATGGCATTCTTTTAACATTTTGGTTGGATATTTTACACCGAACTAATGATGTAAATAAGGCTTTATTTATAACAAGAGAATATGGATATAAGTACCACATATAACCTTTTATCTTCATTGGCCCATTACTTTCAATATTTAAAAAATGAGTTTGATCAATATGAAGCCGAAGGAATAGCTTTAACTGGCAACGAAAAATACACAGAACGGCGAAGCACTAAAACAAAGAGGCTTTTTGGGGAACCAAATACAGAAGTTATTTTGGATCCTAGAGAGAAAATGAGATCGCAGATTTACCTTCCAATCCATGACAATCTTTAAACAGAAATTATTCATAGATCCGAAGTGTACAAAACATGTTCAGCTCTTTTCGAATTTTTGTTTAATTTAAAAAAAATTAAGTGACGAAGCTATAGTATTAAATGCACAAAAATTAAAAGAGACATATATGGAAGACCTAGACGAGCATTTTCCTCAAGAATGCATTAATTTCAAAATATTCCTAAATGAATCTCCCAAAGATTTAGTAAAATTGTTACATAAAAATAAACTTACGTCTTCATTTCCAAATTTAAATGTATGCCTCCGATTTTTTTTTTTTTTTTTTAGAATGGTAACGAATGCCAGTGGGGAGCGTACATGTTCTACTCTAAAACGGGTGAAAACGTATCTTCGCAATTCAATTGCACAAGAAAAGTTGAATTCTTAGCAGTATTATCAATCAATTCAGATGTGTACTAAAAGTAAATAAAACTCCCCTGTTGTATTTTTATACTTACATTCTAACATGTTAATCCACAGTACACCACCCATTTTTATGAATCTTCGTGAGTAGGTTCATTTCGACGAGACACCCAACTTTTCTATCTGCGTGGTAGCTAATAAAGTGCGCAGCGTGAAACGTGTCAATTGAATGATTGTCAAAATTTTGTATTAAACATAACATGTCAATATTTTTGAATATGGGCATTAGCAATATTATTTTTCGTTATTTGTTTATTATTTTTATAGTTTATTTTTACTTAGTTTTAACAGTTATTTAATGTATTAGTGATAGTACTTATTAAGATAATATTATAGAAAACAAGAATGGAAATTTATGTTTTAGACTGGTATTTTGTTTTCATTCCATTTTTCTTTGATCTTATTTTTGTCATTTTTGTTCGTTTTATTTTATTATTTTTGTTTGTTTTATTTTATTATTTGTATTTGCGTAGTAGTTTTATAGCTGTTTCTGACCATTATAATAATTATGGTTTATTGATGTTGTGACGTTATAAATATAATACTTTTGAATTTTGTAATCTTTTTTTTTAAATAATATATAAATTCAGCAATCTAAGATGTATAAATTATTAATATATAGGGCGGCGATTACAAGTAGCACCTGGCGCAAAAGTACCTTAAACCGGCACTGTTTCAACAGCACGATATGTTGAGCACTACACTAAAAGTGTTTATTACATTAAATCATACGATAAACACTTAAGTTCTCGTTAAAATCAAAATAAAATATACACCCTAATCGAGTGATATAGCATTCGATAAACCACAAGGTTTAAAAACTAGTTATAAAATTCTCGCTATCATTATTGGCTTGAAGTTTTATAGCACAAAAGCCATATAACGACAAGGTAAATCACCTTTTGTGTCTTTTATGTGTACACGCTTTTAAAGCTGCATGGAAAGCTTCTACGGAAATTATGCCCCAATTTTATAATTTCATTAAAGTGTAAATGGATTATTGGCTCAGCTTTGCAGAAGCGTAATAATACTGGGCTAAAACAAATATGCATGATTAGTTCTGGACAACGACGGGTCGACATCGTAATAACAATATTGAAACCTAATAAGTTTCAAATAATAATTTGTAAAAAAAAAAAAAACGTAAATATCAAAAATATTCCTGGCCTAGATTGGATTAGAGTTAATTAGGAGTTTGGACCATGTGGCCTTTTCCACCTCGACCTTTTCAGATATATTGTGTATAGCCTTTAATCGTTATTAAGAATATCTTGTCTAGTTCGGTCTTTTTTAGTAGACTCCATAGACTAGGAGGTAGTTCTCCGACGTAGCTAGTTGCCCTTGGCTTTTCTTGGAATAAATCTCAGTCTTGATAGACCTTCGCAGTAGCATAATACTGGTTTTGCAGTTTCTCCCTCTTCCTGACAGAATCGGCATAATGTCTCTTCTGTCAGACCGATATTACACATATGTTTGCTAAGCCTACAATGCCCTGTTAATGTTAATAGACCTACTAGTACTCTATTATTTTTTCTATTATGGCCTAGTAGATGCTTGGTGAGTTTAGGTGATGGTCCTTTTAAGAACTCTGGCCTGTCTCTATCCTGGTGAATTGTTCCACCATTCCTGAGATTTTTTAAACATCCACTGTGCTTTGTGCATGTGCTGATAGCTGTCTTTGTGACACCACGGAAAGGTTCTGGGCTAATAAGAGCCTTTCGTTGTTCTTATATCTAATTTAACTCGAATCTTTAACAAATTTTTATTTCAAAAGTCCGATTATATTATTTACAGAAAGGCGTATTAAAAAATACAGAACACTCACCATTTTTTTGAGATAGAGTGTTCTTATTTAAAGAGGAAATTAACACAGTAATGGAAGTTTCCTCTAGTAGGGGAAGGTGAGGTAATGGCGCCACCTTAAGGAAATAACTTATCTGATGCTTAGTGGTATAGTAAATATCTACATTTTAGTGCTATATTGCATTACTATATCATTTACCTAGACAACTGTATTATTAAAATTTTCTAATAATGATATCTGTCACTGTTATTAAAAATATTGTACTAGTATGGAAAGTGGCGGATTTGCCCCTGGTACTGGGGTATTTTCGCCATAGCCTGGGGGTAATATCGCCATAATATCTAAAGCATTTTAAAAATTGCTAATTAATTTTTTTTTTATATTTTTAAAGAAATTATACAAATAAGCAAAAAGAGTTAAAATACAGTAGGTAAGTATGTTGAAAATATACTAATAACTAACAACAAAATTCGTAAATATAATTTTCAGCAGTGTCATAACCACTACACTCTGAATGAGCCCACTTTGAGCATCGAACACAACGATACTAAAGTTCATTTGCACCGAACTCCCCACAAATAATGCACAGTTTAGTATCAGCAGCAAACGGATCAATTATATCGTCATCTTTATTAATCGCCACACAGGATATTTTAGTCAATTTCTTTGGAAGAAGAAGAAGAATCAAAATGAATTTGCCGTTTGCAACCCTTGTTAAGCTGTTTTTTAACAGTGGTTGCTTTCCTTTTATCGACACTCGCACTTTTTCTTTCTGTTTTATTTTTGCTTCTTTCTTCTTCTTTTCTTCAACTATCTTTTGGTTGATTGATTCAACTTTCTTTTTTACTTTCCTATCTGTATACAGATATAAGGAAAGTATAGGAATCATGATTTTTTTCGACCTCGAGTTTTCGACGGATTTTTACGTTTTGAGGTCCCCTGAATCCGTTTTGACTATTTTCGCGATGATGTCTGTGTGTGTGTGTGTGTGTGTGTGTGTGTGTGTGTGTGTGTGTGTGTGTGTGTGTGTGTGTGTGTGTGTGTGTGTGTGTGTGTGTGTGTGTGTGTGTGTGTGTGTGTGTGTGTGTGTGTGTGTGTGTGTGTGTGTGTGTGTGTGTGTGTGTGTGTGTGTGTGTGTGTGTGTGTGTGTGTGTGTGTGTGTGTGTGTGTGTGTGTGTGTGTGTGTGTGTGTGTGTGTGTGTGTGTGTGTGTGTGTGTGTGTGTGTGTGTGTGTGTGTGTGTGTGTGTGTGTGTGTGTGTGTGTGTGTGTGTGTGTGTGTGTGTGTGTGTGTGTGTGTGTGTGTGTGTGTGTGTGTGTGTGTGTGTGTGTGTGTGTGTGTGTGTGTGTGTGTGTGTGTGTGTGTGTGTGTGTGTGTGTGTGTGTGTGTGTGTGTGTGTGTGTGTGTGTGTGTGTGTGTGTGTGTGTGTGTGTGTGTGTGTGTGTGTGTGTGTGTGTGTGTGTGTGTGTGTGTGTGTGTGTGTGTGTGTGTGTGTGTGTGTGTGTGTGTGTGTGTGTGTGTGTGTGTGTGTGTGTGTGTGTGTGTGTGTGTGTGTGTGTGTGTGTGTGTGTGTGTGTGTGTGTGTGTGTGTGTGTGTGTGTGTGTGTGTGTGTGTGTGTGTGTGTGTGTGTGTGTGTGTGTGTGTGTGTGTGTGTGTGTGTGTGTGTGTGTGTGTGTGTGTGTGTGTGTGTGTGTGTGTGTGTGTGTGTGTGTGTGTGTGTGTGTGTGTGTGTGTGTGTGTGTGTGTGTGTGTGTGTGTGTGTGTGTGTGTGTGTGTGTGTGTGTGTGTGTGTGTGTGTGTGTGTGTGTGTGTGTGTGTGTGTGTGTGTGTGTGTGTGTGTGTGTGTGTGTGTGTGTGTGTGTGTGTGTGTGTGTGTGTGTGTGTGTGTGTGTGTGTGTGTGTGTGTGTGTGTGTGTGTGTGTGTGTGTGTGTGTGTGTGTGTGTGTGTGTGTGTGTGTGTGTGTGTGTGTGTGTGTGTGTGTGTGTGTGTGTGTGTGTGTGTGTGTGTGTGTGTGTGTGTGTGTGTGTGTGTGTGTGTGTGTGTGTGTGTGTGTGTGTGTGTGTGTGTGTGTGTGTGTGTGTGTGTGTGTGTGTGTGTGTGTGTGTGTGTGTGTGTGTGTGTGTGTGTGTGTGTGTGTGTGTGTGTGTATAACGCATAACTCATGAACCGATACACAGAAAAACACCAAATTTTAAACTTAAGCTTTGTTTCAGCGTCCAATGAGCTGATTAGATTTTGGGCAGTGTCGGAACATCTGGGGGGTACTTTATAGGTGGTCATTTTTATATTTTATGGAATATATCTGTTATTTACGTTTGGAGAAGAAAATTCTTCAAATAAAAGTTACTTCTAATATAATTATCTATAATTTTTGTTTTATGCAAAATTTTCCTAAAATGGTCCGTATTCGAGAAATTTGACAAAATGTAAAAAACATAATTTTTTATAAAAATTGTTCAAATAAAAGTTGTTTATAATATAATTCTCTATAATTTTTGTCCTATACATAATTTCTCTAAAATGGACCGTATTCGAGATATTTGAGAAAATGTGTA